ACATTTTAACTAGAAAAATTCAACATATTATACAATCAACATATTGTTTAAAAGCTTAATTATAATATAAATCTAATACCTATTATTACTTATAGAATATTAAAAACAAAACTGATGAATATTAATAACTTAACTATAACTATAAATTTATCATTTGAGGCATGATTATTACACTATCACAAAAAAAAAATAATATATCCAAGTATAAATAAAATATTTAAGGAACTAAATAGTATTCATAGCTAAATAAATAAATTTAACAAATTTTTGTCTTTTTCAAGATTATTATTACTTCCATTTTATAAAAGCAAACATAATAACTCATAATATTTCGTTTTTCTCAGTATTTTTAAATCATATTTACAGTATAAGGAAATAAACAGACTTAGCATAACAATACACATGTTCTTTAATTCTTTCAAAATAAAACTTTCGAAACTCTCTGTTTTGACATTGCTGAGCCTGTAAAAGCATGACCTTATTTAACACAACCGAAAATAGGTATACGTATATGCTGAATTATACTAGGTACTTTCATAATTTTGAATAATACATACATTTATATATAAACAAAATATTGTAAGTAAATATTGTTTTTAGTTTGTAAACAAATTTCTTAATAGATTAGGCAAAATAAACACTGTGAGTAAAAATATATAATAATCAACAATTTTATAACAGTGCTAAAACATAAGACAAATAAATATACATTCAATTAAATAATAAAATATTTTTTAAGAACGATTACAAATATCAAATATTTAATATATTATAACACTTGAAACACATATTTTATGAGTATTACGTTTCCCTGTTCGGTAATATAAAATAATTATGAAGAATATTAATTAAATTAACAAAATACATTTTAATATTTAATTTATTTATGTTGAAAGTAAAATAACAATTTAAATAAAAACATCAAAGTTTGTTAAATTATTTTATTAAAAAACATACCTTAGTGTTTATTCAGGGATTAAGCATTCTTATTCTATTATTTGCATTTACCTATCTGAATGAAATGGAAATTCGAAATTTAATTGTATTATTTATTCTTAAAAACGCATTAAAAAATTAAAATCTTGAAAAATTATTTTCATTTATAAAAAAAAACAAAAGATATTTCTTAAATGAAAAATTGCATTTAAAATTTATCTATCGCATATAATTAAATCTTGTTTTCTTTGTTCAAATATTAAATAATTATTATAAGTGTTTTTATATTTAATGTAATTTAAAATACTAGGCATTTTAAAACAACCATCAAATTATATTAATAATATGCTAAATTCAAACTAAAAATAAAAAATTAAATACGCGACAGAATTAGGTTTATATAAAAAAAAATAATACTTAACGTGTATTAAAACTGAATAAGGTTTAGAATGAAATATATTCAAAAAAATAATAAATAGGAATATTTCTGAACAGAATATTTGAAAAGTGCGATATTATGAAAAAATTATAACTATATTATTGTATTCGTCAACATTATTATTTTTTCTTTATTAATAACACTCATGCACTCAGCTTAATAATTTATTTATAATTTATAGTTTATATAATTTTTTTTTCAGTATACAAACAAAATTTATCATTTAAAATTCACAAAATATTTTTTTTTATCTTTTGTGCATGATATTGTATAACAAAGTTTAATAAAATGTACAACACACATTAAAGCATTCGATTTTTTTTTTAACTCTTTTAAAAAATTTTAATTGCTTTATTGCAATACATTATTTTACAGTAGTTGGGAATTTGAATCAAAATTCAAAACTTGAAATATAAGTTCCATTCGCAATATACTCTAGATTATATGACTTTTGAAAATAATGTTTTCTCGTTATAATTAAATGTATATTAAATTGTTTACTACCGTTAATATGTAATCATATTAAATAGATACATACTGTAATTTTCCTATGGCTCTTATTCCAATACAACTGTCAATGTCACAAAAATAACGAAAACCTCTACATGGCATTTCCTTGATGATAACTAAAATCAGTTACTGAACCGTATTGTCCATCACTAAAACCATTGTAAAGGTTTCGAATAAAATAAACGTGTCAATTTGTTGGTATCGTTAGCCAATACAATTTCATCTAAAAATGACAAAACACAGTGATCCGAACGATTTCCTTTGGTATAATAATTGAACACGTAGAGAAAAAATATCATGTACTGATTATATTTTAAAAAAAATTACTTGAGAAATAGCATAGTATTCTTTCTGAAAACTTGTCATTCGCGGTTTGTAATACTCCACGTTCACTATAATAGTTATAAATCATTATTTACTGTATCAAATAATTAGCTAAATTATGATTAACACTTAATGTTTTCATTTTTATAATATTTAATTAATTTTAAGCCGAACCAGTTTTAAATTTTACCATATTAATCTAGTAAACAATAACAATATATTTTTATCTCGTCGCGTATGATGATGATAATAATAATAATATAACAATCGTGGAATACACTCCAATATTATTATCATTCATAGTAAGACGGCGTTCCGGTTATGCAAAATAAAAGCACTGATACAAAGTGGGTCGAAAACAGTGTATAGCGGGGATCTCATAATCGTCATAAAAATCATTACAATGTGTGCATTACATTTTATACAAAATAACGTCTATCAAACATAGGTAAATAAATAATATGTAGTACATTTTAAGGGCTTTTGGTCTCATTAATGTTAATTTTTTATATATATATATATATATATATATATACAACAATAACAATCGTATTATAAATTATTATATCTAAATAAAAAAATAATAAGAATATATAAGAATAGAAGTTCTTACATAATTATTATGGTCAGTTCGTTCTGTTACAATCCATACACAATTTTTTCATAACATAGTTATTAACCTTCATGATCATGTTATTATTATCGTTGTGTTAGCGATTCATTATACACAAAACGTGATTTAATTATGCTATTATATTTCATATTATTATCACTCGTCTATAAAACAACTATTACTGTTGTAGTATTGTTGTCCTATATTATATTAACTTACTAAGTCCGCCTACTACGATGCACTAATATTATCTACTTTTATGTGCATTTCTATTTACCGTCGCTATAATGTAATGCAACGTCTTTATCGTTATAATAATAGTTTACAATGTAGGCCAAGTATTTCACCGGTGTGTTAGCCAAACGTAGCCGAGGTCAAGTCGGATTGAATCAAATCACTTCAGGTACCCTGACAAAACAGTACCACACTGAATGCATAAATGTAATTTGTACTATCTGTCATATGGTTAAATTAGTTTTTATTGATTATCAACGGTTGATTATCTTATTTATATAATATGATGTAGCGTGTACCCCAATAAAAAACTTATTTTATCTGAATTTCAAATCAATATTTTAAATGTATTAATAGCGGATTATATACAGACACGATAAAACTAGAAACTATTACTATTATTTTTCAGAGTAACCATAAGATGATATTTTAAAAATATTTTGAGACTTGATGAATCACTTTTTTGTTGGTATCCAAATAAATAAAATAAAAAAAAAAATTCACTTGAGTGTGAGTCAAATCTTAACAGTATTAAAATTTTAAATAATAAAACGGTTTATTCATAAAATTACTGTTACTTTACAATCGATTGAATAACAGTTTTTTTAGTTTGTTAATGAATAATAATTATTCAAAAATATTTTTAGCTTAACAATTTTTGTCCAGTCAAAAATTATAACTCTCACTGGCTTGTATATTATTAGAAAATACTTACACAGAATTTTAAATTAAAGATTTGTTGGTTCTTATTACTTTTACTGAGATAAATTTAATACGGATAAACACATATTTTTTCCGTTGAAGTAATCACGATAATCTACACTTCATAATAACAAAAAAAAATTAACTTTTAACTTAAAAATATGTTTGGTATTAATAAAATACAACACACAGATGTAATTACCGATAGTGTGATAATAAAACGCGTTGAAATTCTAGTAACAGTTATGAGTTATAAGCATTATACTACTACCTACTATTATTATTTTCATTGTAATTTATGTAAAGTAAACGTTAAATGTATGTTATGTTTCGTAATTACCAAAACTCGCACTTTTGTGCTTGTTCACAGCCCATAACAGGAGTTCATTAGCCATTACGTGCTTTGTTTTATGACATAAAATACGCTAGTTTCGGTGTGTTAGGTTGTCACCAGATGTTATACAAGAGCAATGACAAACATTTTAATATGTAAATCAAAACTTGGCTATAGAAACTTTGTTACAATCTTCTTTGTTACTAAGGATAACCGTAAAAATATATATTTTAGCATTATTCTGAAACCATAATGTTATACATCATACTATTGAATGATATTCAAAAATGAATAATATTAATAAATATAAAATATTTCATTTCATTTTATTTTTAATCAATATTCTTTCTTCAATAAGTAGTGTAACTATAGTATTTTGTAAAATAACTATCCATTCAGACAAATTTATTTAAAAGCAATATTTGTTGTTAGTTATTTATATTTTAAATTTATAAAATAAAATATAAATAATATCTAAAAATTGATAATTTTCAAACAATTGAACCGTTTTTGTTTTGAAATATCGATACTGGACACCCATATATACAATATTTTATATAAGTAATTTCTTTAGTTATAGTTCAAGCTATTTGTTCAGAATATTAATTGTGTAAAGCATAAATTATGTACAGTGTTGCCTAATTTAACATAGTAGTACAATATTTATGAACATAACGATTTCATTTATACATTGTTATATCAATCAAATCAGTTTTAATCTGATAATATATTTAATACTATTAAATTTAATCCAGAAAATCTTGATTAAGCTTTTCATGTTTGTACTTATGAAGAGTATTTTGTGTATATAACTTTTCAACTAGATTTCTTAATATATAATTTCAATAAATTAAAAAAATTAAACATGTCTATCAAAACTTAATAGATTTATTTTTATAATGTTACAGAAATCGTAGACAGCGTGAAGAGCATAGAAAAATGTCTAAGGCCAAGTGTAGCAGATTTGAGCTGTGAAGAGGAAGTAGGTTTGTTAATGAAACGATGCTGGACCGAAGACCCGGCTGACAGACCTGATTTTACCACACTAAAAACAGTTATACGAAAATTAAACAAGTGAGCTATCAAAGACTTTTAGCTTAATTAATCATTCACGTACACAATTAACCTTTATTTTCCAATAAATGATTCTCCTGAAGCGTGTTTTTATTCTATAGCATAACACAAACATACGATCCCTTTGTGACCAGTCTAAACTTTTGGATTTTATTTCTCCCGTGTAAAATATATAATTCAAAACTTTCACTATGGTACAAAAGGGAAAAGTTACACGTAAACGCTGAGTTCGTAAATTTCTGGATAGCTAATAACAAACCTAAGCATTTCAAATAAATACCTATTTCAAATAAATATCTTTCAGACTAGCCTAATAAATGTATAATTATCATTTAGCAAATATCGCCTTTATCAAAATTATGAATGTTTTAGTTATTCTTTAATAGCGTCCGCTGTAAATAATTATTGGAGTTAAAAGTATGTTATTCGTAAAATTCACTTTTACTAAAAATGGCTAAATTTTCTGACAGCGCCTTTAAAGTTTATTTTATAAAAACAGTTGAATATTTAATGAATTTTCACGCATCAACAATTTTTTTTTTTTTTAATGGATTTTAGTTTGTTAATCAAATACAACTATAAAACGTTAGTTATTGACTATAGTTATTCGACTGTGTATTTATTATCCAAATGATTATAAGTTATAACTTGACGTAACAAAAGTCAAACTATTTAATTAGAAACTTAACAGGCTGTAACTTTGTCAATAATTCTGACAAGATAATTAAAGACAAAAAAGACTATTTTTTTGAAAATTAAATATGTTGTGTTTTGTTTTAATATGACTAAAAACTCATTTAATTCTAAATAGCATAAAAATTAATTATTAACTCATGTGTTAACTGCAACCAACTATTATTACCACCCCAATCTCAGCATTTGACTATTTGGTCATATAATATGTTATTATAATTTTAAGATATAACAACATAAAAGCCATTGTAGTATTAAAATTTATTTATTTAAATCCTAAGTAATTTAATTAAAATACTTATTTATAATAATAAATACTCTATTAATGAATTGAAAAAAACAATTTATACCTATTTACATCAATTGTAATATTATAATATAAGATCTTTAATTATCTACATTAAAATATAATATTTAAGAAACAAAATAAATACATTTCTTAAAAAAAAAAAAACAAACATAAAAATATGACGTATTATATATTACACGACTGATAAATTACAACTAATATCATTACGCAGACAAAAAAGTATAAAGTACATACATTTTTGACATATGTTTTTTATACGAATTGTAGGTAGTGAAAAGTCATCAAATTTGGAATTGAGAGTCTTAGAAATTGAAAAGCATTTAAAAAAAAAAAATATGTACTCTAGTCATTTTTGGTGTTAGTTTAAAAGAAGGAAATTTTTCATATTTCTTACAATAACCCAAAAGGAATTCGAGAGGCATTTTTGAATCATTCTATTCAGTTTTTTTTGTCTTTTTTTTTTTATCCAGCTTACAACAATAAATCATTTCAAGAGGTTATCATAGCTACTTCAAAATTTTATACAGATATAATAGATGATAAAAAAAAATAATCAATAAATTATAAAAAATAATAAAAATTGTATACATGAAAAACTTTAACATAATACATATTAGTCGATCATAAAAATATTGTATAAGTTCATCAAACTAAATTAAAACGTGGTTATTCATTAATTTGATATAAAATATTTATTATTTCAGTTAAAAAAAAAAAAAAATGAAATGAAATGGTGAATAAAAATGCAATATATTATAATATTATTGTTCGGTACCAAATTCCAAAAAAATGACAATATACAATACTCGGTCAAAGGTCTCCGCCGATAAGACAGAAACGTCTAGACGGACCTTACTCCCTCCCCGCCGTTGTATAGTTCGAACCGGCTGCCGCCTCGAACAAAGGACAGTTTTTAATATTTTTCAGTCTTCTCCGGCCCATCGTTGTCATTGTATGACTGTTGGTTTTTTACACGCGTCACGTCGCAATTTTTTGCCATCGGTGACACATGGTTTGAACGTGAGTGTCGTGTCTTAATGTATTAAGATAATTTGGTGTTGATTGTTTTGCACACGGGTGCAAACAATTATTTTATATCGCGCGCGGGTGCGCGGGCACCAACAGGATTTCTATGATCCTGTTGGTGCGCGGGTACCAACAGGATCAAAGAAATCCATTGTCGGTGCGTTGGGCACTCGACCTGGATTTTGGTCATCTTCGGATATTAAATATTATATTTGCAGTTTATCTTCGTATTATGTGGGTCACGGAAGCTGAACTATATGTACGGTAATGCGCCGTCATAAAAGGTGTTTCGCCATATTTTATATTATTAATTTTGTATTATTATTATATTATTATTGTATATATAGCCGAGTTGGCTTTTAAGTTTTGGTCAAATATTAAAATTTATATTATATAGTAGGTGGACGCCTATACCCCGGTAGTAATTATATTATAATATATAATTAATTAAACGATTGTATTATTTTATTATTAATTATTTACAATTAAATATGTGTGGTGTGCTGTAACATTATATTTAAATACAGTCCATTATTATTATGATATACAAATAAAATTCTGAGTTTTTATTTTATTTTATTATTATTGGCATTTAGTTATTAAACATTACTGTGCACACACTACAATTATATATTTTTATTCGTATAATAAATATAAAGTAAACAATGATGTCACCTCAAAAATATTATATGTTATACATATAACAAAATACAACTTCAATTATTTTTTTATTAAATAATATTAAAAATAACACTAGAATAATTTATCAGTTTAAATTTTTTTTTAAAGTCGAATAAAATGTAATACATTTTATTCTGTATTTTATTTTATATGAAATATTTATGAATTGTGTAAGCTTTTAAAATACTCACACAGAATATTATAACGTCAACATTTTTTTTATGATAAATGTATAGTTTTTTTTTCTATTTGGCTTTAACAGGATAATCCTTTTTAATAATTATTATCATTATTTTAATTAATAATTATATATAATAAACTGTTTAACTTAGGCGGTAAATTTATTGCAATTTAGACATTGATAGTAACATTATTTAAAAATTACTAATCATTCATTAATATCTATAACGTACAATTAAAATTAATTATTAAATTATCAAATAACTTCGTTAAAATAAAATCACAAGTTTATTATTAAATCATTGTAGAGAAATTAATTTTTAAAATGTCTACGAACAATCACTTCAATTTTAAAATTAGTGAAATTATATTTTTTATTCAAATATATATTATTTAATAAATTCATTTAAAAAAATTGTTCTTGCCTTTTTCGCCAAAACTACTAAAATTCAAAACCCTGATATTTAATTAGATTTTAATCCAGAGATACCATTTGGTGATTTAACAATTTCGTGACATGTTTTCATAAGACTATTTGCAAGCGTTATTTAATTTAAGAGGTTTGAAATAATTGTTCTAACCACTTAAATTTGTGTCCCATATTAACTGCTGCTGACATAAAACTCCATAAAATAAACCCAAATAAATTAATTTTCAAGTTAAATGTAAAGAATAATACATCTATTGTGTGTTACTCTCAACTAAATTTTCTTTTCACATCTAATAATTATCAAAAAAAGATTTTAAAGATAATTCAATCTCAAGTGAAAACAATTGATTAGATTAATTATAATTGATAGTAAATTTGACAATTATGAAATAAAAAAATCCATCAGTTTTCAGATATAATAATATATATAATAACAAAAATGTTTTTTTTTTAAACATTTTTGCATAAGATATTCCAAACAAGCTTGCCAAAATATATAAACAGACACAAATCGATTTGTAAGCAGACAGATAAGAAATATTTATCTCTCCGTATTTTTAAATATTAATTTTTTGATAATCAAATTTTTATATAATTCTAAGTTTAAGAAACTATTTTATGCTAAGTATTAAAAACTAATTATATTTTTATGCACACTAATAAAATGTTGAAATTTAAACCTATTTGCATATATCATTATTTTTTAAGAAATAATTTCTCGTTCATTGTTAAATTTAATAAGTACATAATATTGTATATCTGGTAAACTATGCATTTATTTTATATTCCTGAACTACCTACTCGAATTTATCAAATGGTATTTACGATTTATATGAAGTATAAATAGTATTCTAATCATTGAACTTTCAGAAAATAATCGTTCAATAATAACGTGAATTAAATAATTCGTTGGAATTTCATATTAAAAATAAATAAATTTCCATAACCTTCTTTTAAAATATATAATATATATATAGAGTACTTAATAACAACTAGTACATATACAGGTTTTTTAAATTTTCATATTATATTTCCTTAGAAAACTAAATTATCGTCCGTGTATAGTGATTTCTCAAAGCCTTATATGAACTACGTCATAGAACATGCCCACTATGCGTATGTACTTACAGCTGACCATAAAATACAATATAAATCCTTTATAGTCGTCCATTAATGGCTACTCAAATGTCCAGTAAGACGGTTTCACGTGGGTCACAGTGCGAGCCTACTTATCGACTATAACGTCATAAACCAAACAATAATGCGATAGCTATTGTCAGAAATGAATTGCTTTGAATAAATGACGTCAGACGAATAATAACAGTTAGTCAATATAATTTGATGCCGACCCTGTATGAAAACTACTTACAATCGTTTTTCGTCTTTGGCGTGACAATATCTTTCGGCACGTGGATTCTGAGCACGGCAATAAAAATCTGCTGCGAACGGAAATTCGATAGCGGATTTTCCGGCGTTTTTGTAGATAAATCACTATAACTACGGTGGGATGAACAAATTACCACGGGTTTTAGTGAAAAGACGGATGTTTTTTATGCTTCACTGTGCCCATAATACGGGGATTGAACACCTTTAAAAGTCACGTACGATTTTAACTCGGACAAGAGACGCCAAAATTTTTAACTCAGACGATCGGGCTACAGGGTGGAGGAATTGGAATTTCTCAAAAGTAAATAACATTTTAGTGATATTTATAGGAACGAAATAAACCATTGAAAATTGAAAATCATATGTTAAGTCTTTGAACAAGTGGCTTTGAGTATTTTGATTAAAAATGAATATTAAGGGTGTGAAAAGATATATTTTACATTGTACCTATACGCGACTGCGAATTTGTTAACTATAATAAAAACAACTACATATACATTATTGTTTATTTATTAATAATTACATTTGTGTTGCCATGCGTCTTTTGGATTACATTGGAACACACTCTTAAATACTTCAAGAAATATGTCACAACGTCAAATGGTCTCGACAGGTATCGCACTCTTTAATGACGCTCAATTTCAATTAATTTACTCAATTTACTAACTGTCAACGCGCACTCCGTTGCCCGAACAAAATCCATCCGCGTTAAATTTAGCTGCGTAATTTTAACGTTTAGTGTAACGCGTGCGAATAAATAATATTTTTGGTTTTCTGACTTGGTGTTTAAATTATATTTCCAACATATCATTTTTACATAGCTGTCCCACCCAGCGTTGCTCTTTTGACTATAAAACAACAGTATTTTTTTTTAAATTATTTTTTTTTTTGTTGAACGACCCAAATTTGATTTTCTTTTTATTCTGGACAAAAAAACCAACAACATATAAAGCTTCAAAAGTGTAAACCAAAAAAAATGAAAAGAGTGCTATTATACTGTTATACTATTCACTAAAATACTAATTTCAAATAATAACTAATAACTGGTAACACAGATAAAAAAAAAAAACTTTATGTGTTTTTTCCGTTTATTTAAAATAGTTAATAACTCGATTTTTCATTAACTCATATAATCGGAAATAGGCTTAAAAACCTGCTGGTATAATTTTTCATTTAAAAATAATCAAGATAATAGAATGAGTAATTTCAAAGAACATGCGTGAATAAGATTTCTATTTTCATATTTATACATACGTATAGATTCTCGTATAAGATGTGTATTTAAGTTAAAAATATCCAACTATTTAAAATAAATTTTAATAAAATATTTTTATTTATTAGCGGTCAATTTTGATCTATAAAATTCATCATACCCAAATGTATATTAAAGCCTTTTTATATGAAAATATAAGAAACCGATTAGATTTCCGACAACGGTATTGATCATTTTAATAATAATCTTAATTTTATCATTTCACCAATATCATCATGGAAAATAAGTTAAATCAAATATTTATCATTTATTTAGACGGTTATGTACATAACTACTTAAAATTTAGTTATATCTATATGTACCATTCATCATCAGCTAATATCTAATCGTATATGTCGATAATAAATTTTTATAAACCCAATATGCAAAACTAAAATATATTTTTTTGGTAATTTACTAAGTTTACTCTTACCAAAATTATCCCAAAAAATAGTGTAAAATATATATATATATAAAATATACACAATATTTATGTTAAAATATTAGGCTATTTTTATTTAAGTATCGATAAAAAGTTATCATACAATCAAATGATTTAAAATAAACACAATTAATATAAAAATGATTATAATATTTTTTTTTTAATAATTGTTATTATTATTATCCAGGGACTACGAAAGCAACAATATTCTTGACAACTTGTTATCTCGCATGGAGCAGTATGCCAACAATTTAGAAGCGTTAGTCGAAGAAAGAACTGCAGACTATTTGGAAGAAAAAAGAAAATGTGAAGAACTACTGTATCAATTGCTTCCAAAGTAAGTAAACATTAATTGCCTTTTTTTAAAAACCCATGAAAAACCCATTTTCATTATTATAAAACACATAACGAAAAATCGATAGGTACATTAATATGATTAAATAAGGTATGATAGATTTTTAAAATGAATAAATTAAAGAAGAATTTTATTTTATAAAACTTACTTATTCGAAAACAGAAGTTAAATGTTTAATGGCCATACTATGTTTTTAGTGTTTAAATAAAATATGATTCTCGCAAAACTAGGTGAGTAATAATTGATACCGAATTTCCACTGAAAATTTACCACTAAACACAATAGATTTGTTTTTTAATTGTAATTGAATAGCTTGAATTTCAAATATTTTTTTTAAATACTTGTACCAAAGCCCGAATTTTTCATAAAACAAATATTCCAATGGATCATAGATCTTACAGCCATTAATTCAATATTATAACATTTAGTCATATTCCATTGTAGTAAAGAGAATCATAATAGTTGACGTCACAATGTATAATAACCAGTTTTATTTCAATTATTTTCATTGATCACCAATATTCTATTTCTCTATTTAATTAGAAAATAATAATAATCAACATAATTATCCATTAATTGATCACAACAATGTTAATTTTATTCAGCTATAAATAAATACTAATACTAATAAATCTTAAAACTATAAAAATAATTGTATATTTACTTGGAGATTTTTGTCACTTATGACCTAGTTGTTTAAAAAACATGTTTAAGCAAAATCTTTACTATGAATATTTAAAAATAAGGAAGCTTAACATAATTATGTTATATAGTTAATAGCATTAAAAACTTACTTCATATCATTTTTTAGAGGATTTAAAATTTTCGCGGTCTTTAAAGGTATTATTAAAAATATTATTATACTTCTTTCATTAAAAAAGTCTTAGTAATTTTAAAGGTGTTAAAATATCTTCCTAATAGGGTTAATTTTATCCATTTGAGAAAACTTTATACTTAAATTCTAATTTGTTAGACTAAATTTATACTTTTTTAACTTAACCAAAAATTATATTTCATTAAAATTAACTAGTTTTAACGAAAAATTAACGAAATAACTTATAGTATTTTTATTATTATTATTATACACAATAAGTAACGTAATACAACATATTTTATATCATATAAAATATTTATCATTTTCAAATAAGATTCATAAAGCAATAAACATTTTTTTTTCTCAAAATATTGACATTGAACAAAACTGATAAAAAATTTGAATTTATGAAACAACCAGTATATACATTTCATTAAGTGTATAAGCTAACTAAGCTATGGGGAGAATAATTTTACTAATAACTATAAATAATATGATACTAATTTAGTTTTAAAGTGACCATAGTTTCACACTAGAGCATTAAATTTCAATATACCTATACCGTCGTAACTTTTATAGCTATAATGTTTAATGAATCATGGTTCTCCAATAAATCACATAATCTATCCACGAAACAGTAATTAGTAGAGTCATGTTAATAAATAAAACCTTTGGTGGTTAATAACTCGTATAATAAACCATATAATTATGTCTGCTCACTAATAACAATGGTTCAATATATATATTATATTTTATGCAAAAAAAATCGGAAGAACTTTCTAATTCAAAAAAGTAATAACAATTTTTCGGTGTACAGCTTAAATTTTATTGAGTAACAGTATAGACGCTTATTATTGTAATGGTCAATGCATAAAAATCTACACTCAAACAATGAAAAACCACATAATACGTAAGTTCGAAACAGATTCATTTATGTTTTGTAGTCAAATTTAAAATGTTTAAAAATTATTTATTGCAGTGACCATATTACCATATTGATTTCTTTACCATCAAAGAAGTGAGATGATATGATAGATGGTCTCATTATTTTAATTTATTTTCACAATTATGTATAAATGCATGTAATAACAATTTTTAATAATAATTTATGCAATAAAAAAAAATAAAACACCTACTTTGTAAAATGATAAACAAATTACACATTTATACAGAATTATTTTGTTTAATAAAATTATTCAATCTACACAATTTACAGCTAAAATTGTATTAAATTTATTTAAATAGACAAAAAGGCAACATACACTTTTTATAACATTATTACTTAATTTTTCGTGTTTGTGTATTATATCAAATTAACTAGTAAAAATAATTTATAACAATATAAAATTAAATATCCTATTAAATATTTTTATTTTTTTTTTTAAACAACAAAAATCTAAAATTTATCTTAGATAATTTAATACCAAACTTGGCATTGGAAATACTATAATTAAATCCAAATTTTTCTTGAGTATTAATTGAGAAAAAATTATATCTAATTACTTAGCAAATAATACTGTAAAAACAGATTAAATATATTTTTATAAAACACAGTCATGGTTTCATTTACTTTCGTTAAACTCAGTTAATAATGCAATTCTAAATTGTTTCAATTTAGTTTTTTTTTTCTGAATTACTTCTGAATTCAACTTATGTAGACATAAAATACTTTTACTCGTTAATTAAATTCAAAAATTTCTTTTTACCTATAATATATTAGTATTTACGGGATTAATATTTCTGTCGAAAACATTATCAATAAATCATCAAATCATGAATAATACCATTACAATTAAAAACATTTTTTGTATCATTTTATGCTAGGAAAATGAAAATGAGAAAACCTCGTTTTACTAATGGGTCGACTTCTGATATAAAATTCAATATCATGTTTTTTGGGTAATGTCATCTGACTGTCTAGCAATGAACTGATGATCTTGTTATTTTTATCTCAAATTGTATTATTCTTACAGCTGCGATATCGACATAATGACGTGTTAACTTCAGAACCGACTACAAATTGTGCGTATCCATTAATTATTAGTGACTATAACTGATGTCAGTTTAACTGTCGTCTTTGACATTTAAGTTCCCAACAATGATTTCATATCAAACGCAGTAAACAGTACGATATACAATATAACATATTACACTGATAGAAACTTTAAAATTACGAAAACAAATAAAAACAGTTAAAAAGGAAAGCATTTATTTACGTACTCCATATAATAAAAAATATAAAATATTAATATTTACACAATAATTAAATTCATTATAATTCAATTCGAGATGATATACAAATAACCCGTTTGATACGGGCGTCATAAAAATGTACACTTAACTCTGGATTAAAAATCAGCATGTAGTATAAAATTTAAATAAAAAAACTTTATATAATATATATATAAAAAAATAATATTAAAAAAAAAAACTATATATTATACAAATACACGGACATTTTATAAATATGTTTGAAAAAAAAAGAATGTGAATAATACAAAATATATCAAAGATCCAAAGTGCTATTGTTTAATGATCATTAAAAAAATAAATTTCTTAAAATATTTTAGTGAATATGCCGTGGTTTATCGTGGCTCCAATGTGATCAACACTAATGATAGTATAATATATAAAAGCATATTAATATTATGAGATAATGTTATAGTTATTATTATTATTATTATTGTTATCAATGACCAAGTTAATGCCCCTAACTTACTATCTAAAGATTGAACTTTAGGGTACCACCTTCAGTTCCGTAACATTTATCCCGATCCGAGTTCCATTAAGCCGCATTGTGCAATCGTCTAATACTAATAGAACGGTGCAATATCAAGCAACAAAGACTCATCAATCATATTATTCCTAAGTGTCTTCGGTAGTCAATTAATTTTAATGTGTTTTTTTTCACAAAATTTAAACGCAAACATCGTGTAAATTGACTTTTTAGCGTTTTCAAATCTAAATAATTGTTTGACAATGTATTCAAAAAAAAAAAAAAAAGCAAACTATAATACAATGTGTCGACAATAAAATTCGGCTATCTTCCCGATGTTCAACGTGCAAACTTTGGCAAGTAAAAAAATAACACCACAATATAAGCCTTCATTGTATCTGGTATTCACCCTGCGCCGTTGTATTGAGATAATCTCTCGCGCATCATTAACCTCCGAGAACGTTACACGGTCTAATATCTATGATACAGGTATATATCCGCATCTATTCGGAATGGAGGTCATAAACGATTTTTACCATTGAGCTTAAACGAAACTCTTATACGATAAATTTAAATGATTGATGTGGCGTTGGTGCGTTGGCGGATACATAAAATTCTTAAAAGCTTGATTAGTCCGAATCACGAGCTAACCTACCGGAGATTTGACGAGTTAACTCGCATACACACAGAACAAAACGAAAAAAAAAAATGAAGGACAAATCCTATATTCGCGTTCAGGATTATTATTTTCTGCGCCACGTCGGAAGTCTTTCGACATCCCGGCAATGATTATAAATGAGACAAGAGCTTTCCTCGCGACGACCGGGAACTATACGCAAAACAAAAAGTGATGCAACATGACTGCGATACTATAATATAGATGGTATTGTATTCACAGGCATCATTATTTTACGTATCGAAAAACGATAAAACAATATATGTTCCCTTTCGTTACACAATAAGTTATTCATTACGATTGTCCATGACAAAATTAAATCACAATAAGTACCTGTCTATCGTTTTAATTTTCTTTTCTTTTTTTTTTATGTGAAAAAACGTTTATGCAGAAAACTTTTGCCCGTCAGCGTTCCGAACAGGAAATATCATAATGATGATTAATTTTAACTTGAAAGTTTATTGTTGAATTAGCTGTATTGAAGTTAAAAATAACAATAAATTAAGAACATTTTTACAGTATAATAATATTTTACTCGTAGTACTTTGACGAATTATTAAAAAGTAAATCCTAGTAAATAAATATCCCATGTCTTAAAATAAATTGATCATACAGAAAATAATATGTAATTCAATTTAAAATTATATTAATAATAATTATTATAATGACCGTATCGTAAATATTCATTGATTATTGATTCTAGTCGTATTGATATTATTATAATTTGTATTAAACCAATAATACATATATATTTAAAATTTAATTTAATAACAATTTCACAACGCAATATTAGTAATTATTGCATTTAAATATTTAAACATTTACAGACCCAAAAATATATGTAAAAAACAAAATACTATTGAAGTGACTTGATCATGTTAATAAGTAAAAGCATTTCAATTTCTCGCGAGTTCTGAATAGAGTTCATTCAAAGAATTCGAATTAAAATTATTTTCTTGAATTGATCAATCTGAAAATATAATGCTCGAATTCACAATATGTTCAAGCTGTTCTTTTAGATACGTCTATTGATTCAGAATATTATGCTTAAATTAAAAAAGATAGAATATGTATAATGGGTGGTTATTATTTTAATTATGTGACTTTAAATAACTAAGCCCAACATCGCTTTATATTGTCCATTTATAATTATTTTATTTTTCACATACTTCAGATAACAATACATAAACTGTGATTATTAAATAATTTTTAAAAAATTAACATTTGACGCTACTAGAGTTTTATTATCGAGTTTCATTAATTAGGTGTAGATGTTATGACTTATGAACGATGCTAAAGTATTTATTCGTCATTAATAAACATAAGCTGTTAAGACATTATTGATAAATAATGCACCATGTATTTTGAGCTCAGTGAAACATTAGAATTTAAAATCGTACAATAAGTCAATACTACCGACAATAAAACACAAATGCATAGCGTTGACATAACATAAACACAACTGCGCTCTGGATTTATAGAGCCGGAGAACATGTGAATAACGTTTATTAAATTCGAATTTCAGATTCTGTGTGTACAAATTTTATTTTTCGTACTACGTTCTACTTAACAACTTTGGTTAAAATTGATATTTACTGTTGAAACTTAAGCAATCCACCTTAAAGTTACAACAATATCATGTTATTCCGAAAGTTTTTGTTACGGATACCGTAGTACCTATACATTTATCCATTACGTGTATAATATAATAATACCATAAACAAATTATAATCTAATACTACAATATCGTATTAAGGCTCTTGCTTGTACTTTATGTAACTATTATTATTTACCATAGAACAAACATTCATGACATTTCTTAATCATTATTATTTTTTATTTAATATATTTACAATTTATAATATATATATAAATTGAATAAACATTATATTAATTGCATTTCAAATGCCGAATGGGTAGCATATACACATAAGCTGTTTGGGTTTTACATCGGTCCTTAATCATTATTTACAATTTATTTTTATGAACACTTCAAATTTTAAAAACAACGTAAATAATGTATAGTAAACATTAAACCGATCTTCGCTTAGAATTGTTATCTATAAGTATGACAATTTATCATTCCTCATAGATGTATGGAAACTCTATAATGCAATACGCACTAGCACTGAAGCCTTGCGCAGAATTACGCAAATAGAAATACCCTGGGATATCCTGCTTAATACTTACAATTTACATATTATATTATATTTATTTTTATTTTATGTTTCAATAAAACCTACTCCAAAAATATACAAATTTAAGCATATCAGTTTTTATAATAGGCAAAAGCATTACTAGTTAGTAAAAATACACCATGATATGTCTTACTCACAACTTTTATCGCTTATAATTTTTTTATTTAAATATACGATAAAACTTTGCAACGAAATTAAACGTCGATTTAGCAATAACGCATGTGTAAGAATTATACTTTTAAAAACACTTCATTACTTCAATAAACCATAACGACCTTAGGACTTAGACCTAAACAATGTTAAATTTAATTCATAATTTTTATTTTTATGAACCAATAGAATCCTTAAAAAAATGTACATAGAGGTGCAGGACTATAAATCAAATTCTAGTTTCCTCTAAAACCAATAAATATACTATATTCATATCTCTTTACGCGAAAAAATGTATTGATTACAATAATTGTGTCTACTATTTCGATATGATAATCGAGTTTTTATATCTAACCAAACAAATCTTACGTTACATTAAATATTAACTTCATATTAACGTACCTATATAATTTTGTCGATATTTCATTACGTAGATCTTAGATATATTAAAATGTATTTGTTAATAATTTAGATGTATTTTAAAACGGGCATTATTTTTATTTGTACTATATATTATTTTTGAAGTTATTTTAAAGAATTTAATTTAATTTATTTTCACTGAGAGATCTACCTTTATTATCACACAATTTTATTACTTCTTACGTTTGTGATTGAACACTATCAACAATATCCACATTAAATTGAATTTATAACGGACATCATGATTTACGTTTACTTGGTATTAAAAACAATAAATAATTATTATTGAATATTAAAGTTTAGTTAGTTTACAATTAAGAAATATTTATGAATCTCAATTACTACAAAACTTTTTATTACGGTTACGAACTATTAAATTGCTCACGTAATATTTATGAGCTTATGATTTCACAAAATATGATTTTTCGATCAAAATTCTCGTGTATGATCATTAACAAACATTGTATGCTTAATAATGAACTGCAAACCATATTATTATACTCGTACTATCTACTATAATTATAGTGGTGTAAATAAAAACTCATAGAACTTCCGTGATATTTACACTTCATTGTTTTATTCTCACATAAATACTTATCATTTATGACTTTACTACATAAAATAATTGCAATTTTAAATTTAAAAATATTAAAATACTCTCGTTATAAGAATGAATACTTTGTAAAGATATTTTTACGAGATAAAATCGCGATTTCATGAGTGCTTGGAGATGCTGTTATCAGTGATAGACTTCATATTGACACTGTCAATTTAAAAAATATATACTCGTTTAGCCCTCCTACTAAGATTATTTTTTTGATAATTAATTTAATGCCGTCTCTATTCTCGTGCGGTTGGTTATTAATTTTATATACTTTTTAATTAGGCTATGCTCTATTCCATATTCATTATCATAAATACCTAATAACGAAACAAAAGAAATTTCCATTTTTATTAATGCCAAAGTATATTATTATGATATAATCATTGTAAATATATAATATATATATATTATATATTCCCAATAAAATGTAATTATTACAAGGCATCATAAGCCAAATCCATTTAAGGTAAAATAAGGTACTTACTTATATTGTAAATGTTTTTTTTTTTGACTTGGAATTTGAAACCTTTACTTTTATTAAAAACAATATAATAATTAAAAAATAACAATTTACATTTTTTTTTTTTTTTTTTTGAGATCACTTCAGTGAACAAATTATAAAGCTGAATATGAAGAAATTTTACTAATATAATTATTTAAAAATAAAACTATGTGAGTCAGATTGAATGAAAAAAATTTGGTAATCTGGATAAATTATTAAAATAAAAAATATCATATTATAGTTATTACTTATTAATCTATAGATATTTTACATAGGAAAAATAATCAGTTCAATAGATCTGATTGAAAAAGATTTTGAATCGACCACTATAAATGGCGTTATGTAAAAAACCACCAGTTAATCAATTTACTTAATAATATTTTTATGGTTTTATTTTATTTTTCACCATTTAGGTCCGTTGCTAGTCAATTGATTTTGGGACAATCTGTGGTGGCTGAAACTTATGACAACGTAACGATTTACTTCAGTGACATCGTGGGTTTCACGTCTCTAAGCGCCGAAAGTACTCCACTTCAAGTAGTAGATCTGCTCAACGATCTTTACACGTGTTTCGATTCTATAATAGAAAATTTTGATGTATACAAGGCAAGCTCAAAGAAATATAATTTAATAACAAAAAAATATCAACGGTATACTTTGAACATTTTTTTTTTTTTTTTTTAATTCAGGTAGAGACCATCGGCGATGCGTACATGGTTGTGTCTGGACTTCCGGTTCGCAATGGAAACGCACACGCACGCGAGATAGCTCGAATGTCACTTGCTCTACGATCAGCTGTTCACAGTTTCACTATCAAACACAGACCAGACGATCAACTTAAATTGCGTATCGGTATGCACACTGGTAAGTAACAATACGATTATTTTAAATTGTCGAATTTCATTTTAAAGTGATATCTATGCCCATATATTACACACTCGTATGCTTCATAAACGACTATGATATTGCTTACCGTAATTATATTTTAATTAATTTATACGAAAACATCCAAACACAATGACTTTAGACATTTGGAAACGTTTTACTGGCACACTGGGTCAGTGCTCTTAAACATACTCCCTCGAGTTTGGATTACGATTATAGTAAATGTCACTAAAACACAATATATTACAAACTATATTAAATTAGTTTTACTAAAATTTCAGATCGAGACGTTATATCTTAAATATGAATTATTATTATATCAAACCATTTTCTACGCCAACCCCAGAAGATTGTAGGATTGTAATATAATACACAAAACCGTAGTATTATAAACGATAAGGAACAGAGACTATCTCGTGTATATTATACAATATACACGGGTTTAAAATTGCAGACGTAATACATATATACAGATATGTACATATATGTTTAAAGTAAATATCATGTATGCTGCTTGTAGATATACATAATATGAGTATGACTTACAATATATAACTTTAAAAACAACAGGATCATCAAATAAATAATAAGTGATAAAAAGTTTTTCCAGCTTAAAATACACTGTTTTAATCATATATAAACGCACTAACCAAGCAATAAAAACTAAATGCTATTACACTATTCTCAAAAATAAATATGACTCCGGAGTCAATCGATGTTCATTGATATTTTCTGTGCACAACTATAAGCGAACAACTCTATACAATATTAAGATATATCAAATCAGTATATAAAATTTAAATAATTATTACAATTAGGGAATGAAATACATTATTTTTTTTTTAATCAGAAAATGTATAATTTTTAAATATTAATATTTAAACCATAAATTGTATGTTGATATATCACTGATTACATTGAGTTTTTTTTTGGAATCTATGGGTTATTTTTGTAGTATAAATTACGCAAACTAAATGAAGTATTTACACTGAATTGAATATATTTGAATATTATTGTTAAATTAATAACTAAATACACGCTATACACATTCAATAAATAATCTATTTTAATGTTTTAATACTTATTAGTAATAAGTTATTACAATAACTTAACTACAACCTATATTAATGAATTACAGCTAAAATCCTTAAACAAATATGAATAATTTTGAATTTTTTTACTTAAATATAAATCATAAATTTTGGTTGAATGAAAACAATAAATAATGCCTGCAATACTATACTTAAAGATTAAACTAATAATAATTGTTATTTTTCGTAAAATAATAATATTAAAGCAATAGGTAATATAATATTAGTACAAATTTCAATCATAAACAGTAAGTCAGTGTAATAAACATGCAATAATAATAATAATGCCAAAATAGTTGGACTTGAAAAGTGTTTTCAATATTATGTTCAAACCAACTATATAGAACTTTATAAGTATATCACTTTTAAATTTAAATTTTTAATTAAAAATAACTGCTAAGGGACTAAAAAGATTATGGAAACTAAAAATATTATAGTGTAAAATAATAATTAGTTTAATTACACTGTGAAGTGAAACTATATATTATTAAAAACTGTAATATGTAACCATAATATTATAGTTATTATTTTATAAGACATCCTATCTCATTATTTTTAAATGTTAAAAAACGCTGTCAATATTATTAATCACAAATAATAAAACAAATTGGTTGGTACATGAGTCAAAATCATTAATTTTCAAAAAACGAATAAAAAATCTAATTTTCAGTATTGATTGCTTCAAGAATTTTTCACAAATAATTTTGGATGAAAGAAAACATAAAATTAAAATTGAATAGGTACTGAAAAACGGTTACAACAATTATTTCTGCATATGTAGCGTATAATAATTGAAATATTGCTAAATTTAGCTAATAACACAACTTTGCTCAAGCACCGTTCAATATTATTCGTGTTTGAGTGTATCAGTTTATATCTCTATAGACACACATGTGTGTATTTATCGTTTTCTAAAAGCTTGAAGCTTAGATATTTACGCAGACAACTAATATACTCGCAAATATACATTTTTACTTAACGAAAACCATTATTAGCTGAGACCCGAGACATGCTGTCAATACTCAGCTGGAATTGCCGAAATTAGTTAAAATACGAAAAACTTAATTTACGTCCAACTCTCGTTAATTTCTTGGTATCCTACTTGCAAATACACACCGGATGCGAGAAAATCACTCAGTCTCGCTTAAGTCCGTATTTGTTTATTAATTATTATCCGAATAAGAACAACGGATTTTAATCGTTTAATGAAGAATTTCTTCGAGAAAACACGTCGTGACGTACAAGAACAAACAATACATTGCAATTAAAATATATATATTTAAATGATTATCTTTTGTATGTTCAAACACTCGTCTGTAATTGATAATAATTCGTTATGAGCGCTGCGCATTTTTTAGTCGAATTGATGACGTTGATCTGTGTAAATTAATTATAACTCCACATTTTTTATGCAAAACCAATAAAATTTAAAAATTTGAAAAAACCGTAAAATTCTTGTTTGGACAATAATAATATAATACGATATTCTCCTTTGTGTTCTGCGCATGACATTCAATAATCAATGTTACATCGATTGCATCATAAATAATATAATGGACATCAAAATATTTGTTGTACATCAAACACACGAGTAAATTATAAAGGCAGGTGCAATGAAAACATTTTCGTATGGGTAATTGCGTAGACCGTTGTGGAATTAAGTTGTATTTTGATAGTAATATTAACAACGGCAATAGGTTTAAAAAGGTAAATTTAAGAGCCTAAAGTAAACAACAGTTGTTAAGCTGTTCCTCTGAGATTTTCGGGTGCCAATTTTCGCATCGGCCAAGTACTGCTGCATATATCTAAATCATTCAATGAATGTGTAAGTTTTGTGTGTAAAGTGGCATTCGACAATTTATTAGGTATTTCAATTGAAGTGTACGGTAACTTGCAGTGATTCTTTGACAGTGTATATTGTACGATAATATTATCGCTATACCAGAAATCGAAAATAATTTTTTACCATCTGAAGTCTCACTACATTGCAAAGTAATTTTTTTTAACACGTGATAATATAATTCCAATTAACGACTCCACTTATAATAAATGCAATGTATTTCTATACATTAAATACATTTCACTATAATTGATTAAAATATATGTATTGAGGTATTTTTAAATAAGGATCATTAAAGTTGTAATTTCGCGTTCTGGAAAAAACTATTTATGCATTGTTTTTTTTTTTAAAATAAAACTGATTATAAAACTCTTAGAAGTTAATTGTTTACAAGCTCTTAAAGTTTCAATAATACGATATAATTATAGAAAGTTAATTATTGATTTAGGTACTAATATAATCAGTATTCGCATGTAACATACCGCGGTTGGATAATAATTTATTTACGTTAACATTTACCTACGGCTTAAAAATTTAACAAAAATCTTGTAAACCGACTAGATAAAAATAAAATGAATAATTCAGTTTTAGTTTTCATATTCCAAACAATGAGCACATTTTTACATTTTGTTAACGTCTATATTGTTATCATTGTACTTCGTTTATTTTTTATTTTTATTATTATTTTTTTTTTTACCAAAAATGAATAATTATTTTTTCGCGTATTAAGAACATTATATTATTATCCTACTTTGTTTTTAATTTTACTCCTTCATTCTCTGCTGCTAACTATTCACGTGGCAAGTTCAACCAGACGATAAAAACCATCGCACAGCACCGAAATCACAAAATCCCCCGGCGTGATAATATCTTTACTGGGCCGATCGAAAGCGTTCCACTGGAATTGACCTTTGCTTAAAGTATTTTATACATATAACATTACAAGCTCCGTTCCCTGACGAGCTGCTAGCCTGTAGAAAAATAAAACTACAACAAATGGAGATGACAAATGTTTTTATATTTTCCAGAGAACACTAAAACAGATTCCTTTTTTTACACCATCTATTGACGCTTGGGCTGTGAATAATATCCATCTTGGTGATATATTCACTGCGCACTACTGATATTTTCGCATTCAATTCTCGTAGTCTGAAAAAAAGATTTTCATACTACAGTTTGAAAACACAGCAAATCTTTTAAGATCACTGTGATACTTGTAAAAAAAATCTAATCACTTACTACTTTTTTTTTTTTGATGAGCAACTGCAGAGTATAAAAAAATAAAACCTTCCTCGAAAAAATCGCATGTAAATTAGTGTGGCGGGTCAAATGATTTAATATAAATTTGTGTTTGTGTTGTAACGTATAAATGATATGATATGTCTACCACAATGATATTGGACGTCGCGTTCGCCAGCCTTCGGAAAAAGAATCGCTCGATGAGTTGCTTCACAACACTAAATGAAAAAAAAAAACGTAAAAAAAAAAAACAGCAACAAAAACAAAAATAAATTAAAATAATTGCGCCGACTGAGCCGAAAATAAAATTGACAGACAAAGCGTTTTTCATTTATCAGCGACTGCGCCGCGGGGACTGGCAATAACGGTAATCGCTCCTACGCAGAGCTTTCCGACGACGTTTTTCCTCACTATCTCTCTCTCTCTACTTCCCGATACGCATATAATAATAACGTATATATATATTATATTATACGAACACGTTAAATTTTTTTATTGCCATCGCGTCTGCACGTGCCGCCAGCGATCGCATATACTAATCCCTTGTTCAACATTCCCGCAAATCTATTCGACGAATATCGCTGCAGGTATCATATAATAATATTGCATTAGATTCATGTGCTGTGTTACGCCATGTTCTGACGAACAACGTCGCTTGTAATGTTCATATAAGAAAATCTACCTGACCGATTGTTTTTTTCCACACACGCCCCAATTTGTTTTCAAATATTGCGCCAGTAACACAAAACGGCAACGATGATATTTACTATTATTATTATTATTATTATTATTATTATTATTATTATTATTATTATTATTATTATTATTATTATTATTATTATTATATAATTATTTTGCATTCAGATTTATCTCGAAATTGGGCAATTATACAACAATAAATGCTGATGCTTTTGGCATCTCATACTATTTTGGTATTATAAACATTTGAAATTTTTTATTTTTTTTTTTTAGCAGGATTGCTTAAATATATTGTCACTTTTTTTCAACGGTTATATTTTTTTATGTAATTTCCATTTTAATCATAGTTAATATTAAATTTAAAAAGTAAAAACCTTTCTAAAATTTAGAATTTCTCTAAAAACATAGCCTATAATGAGAATTTTTATTTGTTTTAAATATTATACAAATTAGTAATATACAATATACATATTACCCATAATAATTGATTATAAATTGATTTTTATCAGATTAACTAACTTTTTTTCATACAACCTAAAGTGCATTTACATTATTGAAATTATTAATTTTAATTTTAAGTATTCTACATACTTAATTTAATTTCTACTGATATAGAACTTTTCATACAAAATTTCTAATAGAAAATAGGTATGTTTATATTTGGCTTAAACCTTATAATTTACGACCATGTCATATGTAATAATGTATTATGAATTATATAACTGATATCTTTATAAAAATAATTAGACTGTTTTATAAAAATTATTTTTTTCTTCTAACGTTTTAGTAAAAGCATGTATAGAGGAACTAAAACTATCTAGTGTAGGAATTTACCATTCCCCATTAAAATTATTGTTGTACACAATAGCAAACTATTACAACGTACACTGGTATCATAATACTTATTAAAAAATAATTGGCTCAGTTACCGTACATGGTGATCGTGGTTGGAAGAAGATGATTATGAAGACTCAAGAATCTTTCAAATAATTCTAAGACAAAACAAATTTCAACGTTCACCAAATATTATTATTTTATACCTTGAAATATTAAAATAAAATTTATAATGTACGAGTATAAATATAGAGACCATATCATCATTGCTTTTAAATGATTTATAAATTGGATTCTACGAGTATATTAATTCATTTTTGCAGTCAACCATTTACTTCGGACTCATCTAGTTTCTAAAATAAATGTTTTCTTCTTTTTCATTTAATGTGCAATATAATATAATATTATCACACTAGAATCTAAAAAAAATTTTAATAAATTTTTTATCGTTATTGTAGAAATGCAATGTTTAGTTACTAGCTATACTTGTATAATAAAAGTAACAAACTTTTTTTTTCAAATGTTGATGGAAGGTCAAGTAAATTTGTTTGCCTAAATATATTAAAAAGGCTTCTAAAATTCATTTAAATTTCCGTTTATTTTAATAAATTTTTTTTTATACCTTATACAGTATACATTTATACATTAAGAATACGTGACTATTATAGGTACGTTAGCCATCTATTTTGATTTATACACATACCGAATTAAACATATGCGCCAGCGTAAAATTTATATTTTGTTTTTTAAATAACTGAAAAAACCGTTAAAATAATACACAATACTTATTCTGTATACAATATATCACTTACACAGAAATTTAATTTTTGATTGCCAACTTCGAATTTTATACAATTTAAAACACGTGGCAAAAGCAAAATATAATGCAAATTTAAGTGTAATTTAAATTTGATTGAACAACATTTTAGGTGCTTTTTAAGTATCTGGCATCCTTATCGTTTATTCTTTTTCCACAGATACGCGCGTGCGCAATAAAAACTCATTAATTTCGAATCGTTATCGAAAATCACATAATAATTATTGTTGTTTACGTTTACATGAATCCAGACAAACGTGTTTGTTTTTCTGACGCGTTGATCAATTTCGTGTCGAAAAACTATGAACAAACAACATATATTTATCATTATACATTAAACCGAACGGGGAGGAGGTATAATGGCTGTTTCCTGTTCATTTGTTGCGTATACTTATGTGTGTGTAATGTGTATGTGTGTACTACAGAATATTTTAATACAAATGGAATTTTTCGACTAACAACATCGCATTGTGTAGTGCATTATATTTTAATCTGAAAAGTATTTTCAAAAAGGTTGATAAATAACGACGTACGTGGAAATTATAATATAGGAACTGTAGAGTAAAGCTCGGGTTTTCACATTACAAAACAATATGTATATATTCTCGCTTTGTTTATCTTACATACGGAATCCTCTGCGTGTTGTACTACGCCACGAATAAAACTACAAGCATGTGTGTCCGTCTGAACTATGTCAGTTTTAAAACTTTTGCATCGAACAGAAAATAGTTTAAATGACTGCGAAACGGTCACAGACCAAATAGGACCTATCTTGCATGTCTATAACTCGGTGGCAATACTGGCAATACAAACTCCCGACTGGTTTATTGCGTATCAAAATAGTTGAGTGATTTAAATACGCGTTGTTGGGGATAACAGAGAACGATTATAATGCCCATTTAGTTTTTTGAAATCGCATCAATCATCAGGTGACGTGAAAATGTTAGTATCTACGTACATGAAAATTATAGCCTGAACGGCTAAAACATTAATCTAACACATTGTTGGACAATCTCAAGAATGTTTTAATAATAATTAAAAGATACGATTTGTATTACGTATACAATTTGATACGTGCAGTGAATGTGTGATGTAGGTACTGAGATTTATTATTTTATACATTTTTTAATCAATATATTATAAGGCTACAAGAGTGTTGTGATTATTACTATAAATTTTAACGAAGTTTTCATGATAAATTATAAGACTTGTAATTATGTGCGTATAACAGGTGTTCTTCACAATCGAATTAAAACAAAATCAATATTTTAAGTTTTTAAATTTGTTTTTAATAAAGTATTGGTCTAATTTTCAATAATAACTGATAAATGGCTGTTAGACCGATGGTGCACAATTGGTAAAATTAAAATGTCAACAGCAAAGATGGTAGAAAATACTAGAAATGTATGTATTTTAAATTTAAATCATCACAAAATAATAATATTTTCATACTAATCGTGGAACGTTGTTGACAACCAATTACGCATTGTGTAGTATTTTCATTATAAAATATAATTAGAATTATTGAAAATATAATCAACGAATTTGCGCTTGTCATGGAAGGGATCTCAGCTCATATCGACGTAATCTGTTAACAGTATAAACAATTTTAATTCGAACAAACTACAAGGCAACCTGGCCGTCACAAATAGGTAACTAGATATTTAATTTGGTTTTAATTAGGCACGTTTTAAACTTCGTCTGTAATGTTATGTACTAACACACGAACTATACGTGCCATAAACGCAAATACAGTATTATATTGCTCGCATTGGCCGAGTTTCCGATGTAATTTATCGGCCGGTCCAACATTATATAGTGTGATCCCTTTGATTGCATCCATCGTAACATTACTCTAAGTAAACGCCTTAAACTTTATGGTTTATTTTATGAGTTCTCGAGCACGATAAAATATCGAAACGCCTAGACGATTTTGCGTGAAATTATCATTCAATATGTTTTCAAAATTAAGAAAAAAAATGTGCAAGGTCATAACTGTAATATTGTCGTAAAAAAATTTACTTTTAAATACACGAGTGATCAGGTTTTCTAGTAAATTACGCGAAATACGAATTTATTTTAAATATATACGCGGTCAGATTTTTATTAAAATGTAATTGAATGTTTCAAATTTCAAACAGCGAGAGCTTTTACGACGGCATTGTTTTTATAGCTTGTTTAATATTTTAATATAGAAGTCGGTGGTTCATAAAAATGATAGTCGTAAATAAACAATCAAATTAAGACGCCCAAAAAGATTCGCTTTGTTTTTAATCGTCCGGATTTAAACTATTTGAATACCGTACATTTTAACACGTCTTTGTTTATTAAAAAATCTCATTTTTCAAACATTCAGTGAGCTACAATAATAGTTCTAGCGCATTGTTATAATAAATTTTAAATTTATCTCTTTGTCTTGTCTAAAAAATATTTAAAACAAAACATAATTTTACAAATAAGTTTTCTTTCATCATTATATATTACAGCCTGTTATAAATGCACGGTAAACCATAGACGGGAACAGAAAAATAATGTATAATATAACCGACGTTGAAATGTTTACATTCTTAATGCATTTGCAAACCAATTAGATAATATAAATTTAGTTTTTAGTTAGTTGTTAGTAATGTATTATAATATTATGCCTATATGATTTTAAAAAACCATGTCTTCTTATTTTTGTCCAGGACCTTGTGTAACCGGAGTGGTCGGTCTCAAAATGCCAAGATACTGTTTATTTGGAGACACGGTCAACACAGCCTCGAGAATGGAATCCTATGGACAAGGTATGCTTTATATTCTACTCGCCTTAATCTCGTTGATATTAAAAAAAACAATATTACCCGTTACTTTAACCCAGAAAGAAATATAGTACCTACCCATTTAAGACACGTATACTCATATTACGACTTACATATTATTATCGTTTCGCCACATTAACCATGTACGTGGAAATTCTATTACAATAATGCAATGCACACATAGGTACACGAACATAATATCATAGCTGTTATTATAGGTGCTTAATATTATTACTATTATTATTATTATTATTATTATATCCGTGTAAATTTGGATCAAATCCCTCGCCAGATCGGTCACTGGGTCACTGCAGCGTGCAAACTGTATACTAACTATGATATAATATTATAATACCTATACACGAATCGCCCTTCGCACTGCGCAATGCGATCTACCCCGACATACAAACATGAATCATGTCGGTACGTCATATCCTGCATCAGTGCCGGCGTTCGCGGTAAAGCTGTTCCTGTCCGGCATCGATGTGTAATACAATTTCAGACGTATTGTGAGCGCGTATAATAATATCGGTGCAGACAAAACTAAAGCTAGATAATCGAATTCCACGTACGCAGTAATGGAATAAAATCATATGACCTACTAAAACGACATATTATATTATACAAAATAATAGTAATAATAATAACAACAGCGTAGAATATATTCGTTTTCGCGTAAAATTAAATCCGGACATAATAGCCATTATCGTTTTCACTGTACGTACCCATCGTAATATCCGATTGAGGTTAGGTACATAGTACATACATACCTATACTATTCAAAATATCTTTTCGAAATATTACAAACAAAAATCAATTGTATGTGTCGTTAACAAATAGGTTAATTATATATATATATATATTCAATAATACGAAACGATTTTATTAGTCGGTAAAAAGGGTTCGTTGTAGAGCTGCACAATGGCGTGTAGAACGTTGCGCAATATAAAAATACGATTCGCAATATTGTTATTAATATCTACGACTGGCGCTTTTTAGAGGCAATACACGTATGAATAAGAGCACATAATATCTAATTTATTTTTTCTTTTGAAACGCATTATTCCATCTGTCAGAAATCATCTCGGTACCAAAATTTATGATCTTATAAATTAACTTCGGTTCACATTTTTCAATAAACCAAAATGTTCGTCATTATTCATTCAATCTGAGTACGCGCGCGTATGTCTAACCATCGAACCGCATTTTCCATATAATCTATCAATTTAGCACGTCAAAAAACGCCACCGAACTCGTTCATCAACGCACTTCATGCCAACCGATTCGTCTGAAAGACAGTTAGTGCGCATATTTACACGAGCACCTGGTACACGACAATATAATCATAGGGCTCTGCTTAATCTGTAAATCCAAAAAATTATCCGATGACACCTTGACGGTTTGTCTAGAAAACTCATAGTACCCAAACATTATTACTAAGACCTGGAAGTTCATGTACTAAAAACTATCAAAATTTATGTATGTAAATATGCGCTTAAAATCACTAAAATATGCGCTAAGTATGAATTTTTTTTTTTTTAAATACGTTATTTTCATTTTTTTGGTAAAAATAATAACTAAAAGATGGAAAAAACATGCACAATTTAATTAATTATGATATATTTTATATTTACTTCAAGAATTACAATTTAAAACAAGGGATTAGGTTTCATTAAATTTAACTAGAAGTATAACCGGCTTATCGCCTGTCAAGATATAAATTACTAATTACAAAATATTAAATTATTAAAGTACAACCTATAATTTGAAACAGGTTTTTATTTTATATTGTCAGCGTTCTCGTGAAATATTAATATAAAAAAAATGTATATCATGAATAAAATTCATTAAAATTCAGTAAAATGCAATTTTATTTTAAAATATCTATATATTATATGTAAAAAAACCTCAAAATATGCGAGAATATATAAACTAAAATTTTATTTTAGAACTCATTAGGTTGTGATTCAAATTTGTAGCTCATCCAGCAACTTTTTGATACACTCAGTAAAAACATGCAAATAACTTTTAGGCTTTAATTATTACCTAAATCGTAATGATCAAAATATAGAAAATAATATAATAACAGGGGTGGTCATAATAATTATTATATTAGGTACCAACTTAATATCAACTCCTCCGTTGGATCGATCGTTGGTTGAATCTTTAATCTTTGCATGTTATCATAATACAACAACATAATGATAACTTCTGTAATTCCCATTTCACACAATACAAATATTAAAGATTTCCACAAATATTAAAGATTTCCACATTTTTTATATATAAAGACACAAATCTGTGCAGATACACATTTCACGGGCTCTGTAATTAATAGGCAATATGATTACAAAAATTCACAAATTCAAATTATTTTATTATTATTATATTAATCCCATTCTTATTGTAATTATTTGTTTACTACACAAACAGATATTTTAGCAGACATTTCTGTTGAAATATTTGAAATTCTGGAGGCAATTCGATTGCTTACATATTTCATATTGCTCACGGAACATGACCCTGGCGTTCATCATTTTCAAACACCCACATACTGATAAATGCCGGAGACAAACAAAATAAATAACACTGACTTCGCCTTGAGCTTACGTCATAAATCGATACATATTAAAAAATATTATTATTTATCGACACATTACTATTTAATTTGTACGAATACTCAACATATTTTGTTCATCTAGTAAAAAAAATAATGTACACAAATCAAACGTCGACCAAGAAAATAATATAAAATTATGAATAACGTATGTCTACACAACGTTCGACCTATAATATATTATGTGAAAGTTTTCGTCTGCAGTAATCCAAATCGATATAAACAAATAAAAATGATTTTCTGTTCATATATATTTATTCAGAGTTTATAAACGTGTGTATATATTTTCTAGCGCTGAAAATCCATGTGAGTCCGCAAACAAAAGAAGTGCTCGACACGTTTGGCACGTTCGATTTGGAACTCAGAGGTGAAATCGAGATGAAGGTAAGAAAACGGATTTAGATCCATTATTTTCTAGTCCATTACGCGTCATTTTTGTCGTTCTCAAAGCCTATATATATAATATATATATTATATTATGTGTTTGTGTAATATCAACTGCACGCTACATATACTATTACTTTTTCTGAAAAAATGACAACGAAAACAATGACAGACGATGCGAATCACTACGTGGCGTATTCAAGAGCTTCCCCCAGACAAAAACAAAAAAAAATTTTACAGTGATTATAACTATCAGAAAAATGGGGTTTACCTTACAATGAAATGTACTACCTAAAGGTAGTACATTACGCAACTGCGCGTATAGCACACGTTTTGACATGATACATCGTCAATAATTCTACAAGCACTAAATTGTCATCATATGATTTATGAGACCACATCAATTTTTTCATAGGAATATATTATATTTTAATTACTCATCAAATATTACAATAATATAACTGCTAAGTGTTTCCTCCTGTAGGTCAATAAATATCAAAATACACCGTTAGTATGAACATACCTGCAACTGTAGTATAGGTACTTCTTGTACCCATTACATGCACGTCTTGCACGCTTATTCGCACCAAACTAATGAAAATTTTAATTTATTTTTTCGTCTCTCTGCCTCGTATAGGGCAAAGGAAAAGTGACGACGTACTGGCTGTTGGGCGAGAAAACTCCTACCACCGCAATGGTCCCCGTAGTTCCGGTAAAACCGGTCGGATCGTTTTCGAAATTGCACACAACAAACAGCGTCGGGTCGTCGTCCACCAAGTCCGTGGCCAACAGCATAGGCAACCACAATAATATCAGCGCGTCCACGCCGCTTTTGCAAGGCGACAATGGTTAAGAAGATTCATCCGATTTAGTATTTTTTGTTTAAATTTTTTTTTTTATATACATATAAATAATTATACTATTATAGTCACTCAGGAAAAATATCAAATAAAAAAAAAAAACCATCACCCTCTCCACTTCAAACTCTACACCACTCCCGATCCACGCGCGTTTATTCAAATGGTATTATGTATGCAATACGCATTTTCGTGTTTATAGTACTGTATATATATGTATCGTCTTCTGCAGTCTAGAACTTTCCTTCTCAGTCGCAAACCTCTCGCCGTTCATCGTCGCGTTTCCGCACTCACTCGTAGTCTCGATTTTCGTCACAGACACGTAGTAATAGGTACACACGTAAGCGCGTCGCAGACTTTAATATATAATAACCGTAACAATCATATCGTCTGCGGCCAAAGTCAACTACTCCAATGGCAGACTGTTTATTTATATATATAAGTCGCAGATAAACTAAAATCGATGATAAAAGCATTTCGCCGTTGTCGCGTATTGGGTTACGATATAGGTACCTACTCAGCAGTCATAAGTCAACTCATCTCTCACAACGATGTGTAAATAATGTATATAAATGTACCGACGGTGACTGTCTGCAAGCGATCACCTTACACGATAGCAACCGTCCATACGAAATTATTGCCAACAGCTGAAATGTCGTGAAATATACTACCACCAAATAAAATATTGTGTTACGATCGTCCCGCGACGATATGATTGTTGTACGTAGCGCGCGATCGGTCCGGTCATACGATACCTGTGCAGCTGCGACTGTTTAATCAATTGGTATTGGTATATTTTCGTGTTATAACATCACGTCGAAATAACGCGGTTGTGTGTACGACGGTGGAGGTGACGGCGGTGGGGTTAGTGTGAACGCGCGTGGGATATAACTAGCGCGTTGGTACTCGATGATGGTGGGGGGGGGGTGTAGTAAAGACATTTTATACCTATATAGTATTGCGATGCGATATTGTGGATGTCTGACACGACACGGTGACGGACCCGCGTCCGCGACAGAACACCGAAAGACGGCGTGCGACCAGAGAGTGATGACAATAATATTATTAATGCGCTCTTTAATTTCCACTCCCCCTCAAAAATTTTAACCGACGAATTCGCACGAGCACCGTTGTCGGGGTACCGCGGTGAACGGTTCGCCGCTGCGGCTGCGTTTTGCGTCTAATGATCGCGTATTTTATAATCCACAATATCGCGTAAACCAGTCGAAATTTTTCGCCCGAGAGACGCCTGGCTACAATAATTCCGCGTGTAAATTACGCTTTATAGTGTTTCATAACCATGGTATCGGCCGGGCACGCGGGCGAGCGGTTATATAGTATTATGTTTCTTACGTGCGTAAAAAATTGTCGACCCGGTATGACGTCGGCGCGCCGTGCCGGTGTGATCGGAGAGAAGAATGAGCCGTAATCGTAACAATTTTGCCGCGCGAGCACACTCTCTCGGTTAATATTTCATCATTAGGTACCTGTCGTCGTCCGTCGTTGTAATCCCGTTCGGAATCGTAACCATCCTGCCTATAAATTACGGTCATAACTATATTAATGTACGCCGACGACAAGCGACCGTGTGGGCACGTGCGCATAATACGTTTTTAGTAGGTATATATTATTATACCTATCTTGTCGCCGTGACGTCAAATGTATTTTAACCACTGCCGGAACACGCGACAATCATATACAACGATATCACGTGAGATCGACGGTGATGGGGGAGAACTTTCCCCCCCCCCCCCGTTTTGGGCGTTGTAATTGCCACAGTTTATGATATATTGTATATAATATTAGAATTCGATAGATGTGCGCGATCGGGCGAGGGAGGGATTGTCCAACGACGGACTATTCTGTTTTATGACGACATATTATTATTACTGTTATTGTTGTTATTATTATTACTTCATAGATTTTAATATTTTCTCGTCGAGGCGTGCAAAAGTGTACATCTCATTCGTACTTAAAAGTAATTTCTATTCACATTTTATAAAACCATTATAATATTATATTGTAAATCGAGTAGATTAGATTTTTAATAATATTACAGGTGCTCCTGATCTATTAATGCGTTCAAATATATTGTAGACAAGTGATACACAATTACGACAATACCGTGATTTTGTTTCAAAAAACTATGCAGAAAAACTAGTTAAAAAAGTCAAGTGTAGTTAAAAATATTTTTTTCCCGTGAATGTATGATTAAATTACACTTGTTAATTAAAAAATTAATTAAAAATAAAAAAAAAAAGTCTAAAAAACTATATTTTGTAGTGGATTAGGTTGTACTTGCACATTTTTTTTTTTAACTTAAGTTTAAATTATTTCACCAAAATAGGCAATTTTGTTAAAAATATTGACAAAAATGAATAGGTTTCATAAAATATAATATCCTGTCTGGTTCACACAGATACTATATAACACAAGTATTAACATAAAGTATTAAAATAATATTTTATTACACGATTGTATTTTTCACCCATTCAGTTCCTAACGAGTGCCAGTGACTCGAATAAAATAAAAAATAAATGTATGAACCGGCCAAACAGCGAACCAAATTCAATTTAGTTCATATTATTTTTCCGAAAATTGTAAAAACCGAACTACACGGTTATTAAATTTTATTTTCATGTCTTGATATAACTTTTAACTGACACTATATGTAAATAAAAAATAAATAAAACAATCTACTCGTCCGGCTTTAATCGTTTCTACACATACTTCATCATATTATTATATATTGTATAGGTATAAAAACTTAACAAATAATAAACATTGCCCAAGATATGATGTTGCGCAACGAATCATCGAAAAATTATAATAGTATTCTCATATTTAAAATTTAATAATACATAAACGTTGTACAGATCTTTTTGATCCAATGCGGATCTTAATTTCATTTTCATTTCGATCGCGTCGATGTTGTCATTGTTATTACTATGTAATATTGGCGCTGTGTTGACTATTGGATTAAAAAATAATTAAAAAACAATACCCATGAAAAACGTATATTGTTATCTTGATAATATTACGCTATTGAAATGTGATTTGGTCCGTCATGGCGCGATTAGGAAAACAACTGCGGCGGCGAGTTAATATAATTACAATATTTAACTATTAGGTTATCGGATAGATAATGTGTTAGTGTAAGTAGATACCTATTTAGTATTTTTGATACGAATTCCATTCGTTCATTTCGTTTTAATAATATTGGGGTCTCTTTGTTAAACTTTTTCGTCCCTCCTCCACCCCTTTTTACATGATTTATTTTAATGTTTAAATGTTTAATAATATTTATATTACTGACGCAAACCATTTTTTTAATATATATTTATATATATTTGTATAATATATAATAGTATATAATATACTATACTCATTTTGTTTTAGTAATATAATAATCAATTAAAAAAAAAAAAAAGTCATTTATACGTTTTAAGTATGATTCTATATACATGATTATATAATATAATATTATGTATAAAGTTAAATATTATATTATGATAATATTATACCAACTCGTTTTCAACAACGTGGAAACTGTGTACATTTGATGTGATTGCATGTAATATATTATAATATTATTGATAATAATATAGGTTAGTTATTATGTTATTTTATAACGTTGTGTATTTTTTTTTTTTTCTTAACGCTAACAAAACTGTTGTAAGTACCAAAAAATATTTTAAAATATTGTACAATAATATCTACATAATGTCGAATCAATGGTAGACCAATGAATTACGGCATACGGCACTCACGATAGAAATAGGTGTTTTTAACATTGCTATTTTTTTTCTCTAGTAAAAACCGAGCACGTCATCATTTAGTTGTCACACAAGCTGTTTTTAAAATAATTTAGTAGGGGGGTAGTACTTGTTATATCAGTGGCATTAATAGGTTCAATAAATACGGCCCAGCTAGGAAAGACAAAATGATTACAATATTATGCATAGATTTCGCAGAGTTTTAAGACAATCATTGACAAACATCAATAGAAGTTTAATGTATTATTATATGATTATATATACCTATACCATTATTATTCTCGTTTTGTTACCGCTTTGTGTTTATTAAAATATATTAGTCGTTAAAATTATTATTATTATTTTTTTAATAAACGTGTAATAACTATTTTGCGTGTACCTAATAAGTTGTGTTTTAACTGTAACCCATTAAAAAAAAAAAAAGCGAAAAAAAGAAAATTCATGATCTCATTTTGTCCCTTATATTATAATATAAAATACCTATTACATTATATTATAATTTATTAATTTTGTTTTTCTTTTTGTATTATTATTGTACTTTACTACTATATTATTATCCAGCTTTACTTGTTTCTATTTTTATTTTTTTTTTTGACAAAACCTTTCAATACTTAATAGTTTATTTCTCTTGAGTTAATGTCTAGAGTATTTACGATAGATAATACATCTTCAACGTTGTTACTTATGGTTAGAATTTATCAAATAATGTATTAGACTCAATAAGTGTTATATTCCAGGTAAATATGACACATACTATTTGTGTAATTCGCTTTAACATATAATTTACACAAACCACAGTCGAACACATAAATTATGTAATATCGTATTATTGTATAAAATCAAACACATTCCTAAAATTCATAATAATACTGTTTACCCATAATAATATATTATTATTATTATATTATATTGTGTATTATATTATTATATAAATATAAGTAGTATATTAATGTATTTTATTTTGTTGTATAATGCTTTTGTTTTAATTTTGTTATCGTAGCGCTCGTTAAATATGTTGTTGGAATGAAAACATAATAGAAGTATTAAACTACACAATATATTTATGCGAAACAATGATTCTATGTTTATCGATGTTTTTGTTAAGTGAGATTTATGTGTGCAACAATATTATTATGTATAACTAGTTACTAAATGAAAAAATGAAAAAAATGTTATAGTTCACATTTTAAGCCATATCAAAACGAATGGACCATCCTGAGCATGTAACCATGAGCGAGCATATTATTACTGTTGATTTCTATTATAAATGTATAATTATTATATTAAAATTACCTATATATTATTATTATATATGTGTACACGTGCGCGTGTGTGCGCCCGACAGTATAATTTTGTTGTGATTGTACTGGAGGACCAAATAAGATTAATATAATCATAGTGAACAAATGCGATTAATATGATACGGAACGATTTACAACGAAATGCATCGACGCACATTATTTAGTATTTATTTTACTTCGTTTATTCTTTTGTCATATTCCAAAATTGATTTCACAACAATAATATCCGACAAACATAATACGTATGAATACACCTATCGACTATCGAAAATCGTATTTACGAATTCGAGGACTGTGTTGCTGTTAATCGCGTATTAATCGAGTTCCGTGATATTCGGTAGACATTTATTCGTAGAATTTGATCATAGTGACAATATAGTTGAGTAACTACTCACCTTAAATACTCAAGGCTTAAATAACGAAGAAATCGCATGATATAATCTAACTTCTAAAAAAAATTAATGTCCCGACTAGAAAACTGTGATGTACCTACTGAATATTGTTAAGATTCTGCAAAAGATATTATTATAATTAGTTTTTGTATTTATTGCACTAAATATGATAGTCAATGAATTTTACATTGATTACAATAATATTATTATTAAAAGAATAAAAATCGTCAATTCATTCAATACCACGAAAAAATAAAAAATAAATACGAAAAGGGGGTTAATGTTCGGTAAATCGTTTTGTAAAATATTATGACGCATTACATTGTATATATAAGTTAGTATTTAATAAAGATAGGTAATAAAATGTATTCTAGTTCTTGTTTATTTTTCATTTGAAATAATAAATATGTCAGTACATTATATTATATTAAATAATAGTTGCAATAACTGATTGGATTCTGTGTTAAAATTATTTCTTACGTTTTATCCTGTTTTAACTGTAGTGGTGGAGTGAACTTTATTTCACCAGTGAGACAAGATTTCAGTTGCACACTTGTAACACCCACAAGTTTAAATCAAAATAGAACTACTTATCATCTTACCGTGGTACCTTTATTCTATTAATATTTTATTTATTCATATCATACTTCAATAAAAGGATTGTTTTAGCAAATACTATTTTTAAGTTTTATTAAAGACGTAAACATTGCTTATCAAATAAAATTAAATGATAAATAGTTTAATAGTTCAAAAATCAAAATGTAGGTATTATATGTTTTGCTTTTGCCAATCCAGCGATAAGGGCATAAGGCTCTTGTTTCTAGTCAATTTTATCTCAATTCACGGTCTAAGATTAATCTAATATACACGTTATGACAAAGCGAAAATGACAAAAATAAATACAAGATATTAAGTAATTTAATAGATAAAAAAAAAAAAATTAAAAAGGGTCAGGGAAACTCGAGCGCCCTAAGATAAACACAATTCAAGAAGCAAAAAAAAAAATAAAATATTAATTAATAAAAATATAAAAATTATAAACGCACTTACATTTTAATGCACGTGAAAAATGAAAAAAGACTGGTTTGAAGTACTTGTAAGTAAATTTATTTTATACAGTGAAAATAAAATTGAAATAAATGATATACCTATACAGTGAATACAGTGAAACCTCTATATAGAGGACAGCCATGGGAAATTAAAAAATGTCCACTACAAGGAGTTGTCTACTATTGAGAAAACATCTACATAGTGGACATTTGCGAGAAATTATTAAATGTCCTCTATAGGGAATAACGTTATAGACCATAGAGGATTGGTTATACGTAATATCTAAATATATATATATATATATATATACATTGAAATTGGTATAAATTAAAATATTAATAATATTTATTATATATATATATTATAATATGTATGTAGTAAAATGTGAATATTTTTATTAATAAGAAATAAGAATGCGTGACTCACGTATCCAGGAATACTTCTCTAATTGCGTCGTGAAATTTTCAGCACATTTTTTATCCATTTTAGATTATACAATTATACAAACAATTTTATTTATGTTAGGACTATTAGGAGACACAAATAAACTACACTTATCGCATATCCTAGACATAATAAAGACGGTAACTTAATATTTGGTACAAATAACATACAACCATATTCACTGACCACTATGAGAGTCAGATCAGAACCATGGCGAAGTATATTAAGCAAAAACTTTATGCCGATTAATTGGCGACTAATTATTATTT